GGGCGATTATTTGACGGACAATTTCCAGCGCTTCCAAATCGGATTTCAAATCTGAGAGTTTCTCAGATTTGATTTCCAAAATTAATTAAATCTGAGAGTTTCTCAGATTTGTTCGCAAAAGGGTTAAAAAGGAATCCGACAACGATTCACAACAACAACGTAATACGATAGTGACTGTTACCATCTTCACCTTACACACGTATTCAATTCACCGGTATCTTGAATCTGAGAAAAATATACCGTATAATACTCGTACAATAAGAATTTTTTAAAAGAACACACACGCGTGGACACATGGATCCATAGCGGTAGAGTATCACACACACGATTAGAGAATAAATAATGTCAACATCATCGCAACAACCATGAATTACACGCACTACAACTCAACATCCTATGCATCACTGCGAAGCCTCAGACAGCTCTTCCTGCTGCTGATAATATCCTCCTATTCGCATTGCGTTCTAGCAGCAAACATTGGCAGGGGTACCTATCATTTCCTGCATTGTTACTCTGCTGATGACGATCTACTGCTAAAGGAAGGAGAAGAAGGCTCCCCAACATCATTCCACAATGATACGACTGTGAATGATAATAATGCCAGCAGCCTCATTCACCGCAGCAGCAGCATTGTAAACAACAACGATACGACCATTACTATTGTTTATCCTGGAGACCGTCTCGTTCTACCAAAGTACGACCCACCGCAAACAGTCTCACTGTATGCGACGAATGATTGTGCCGAATTCGATAATGAAAGTCTCGCCATCTATTCAAACGTGTATCGAATTCGTTCTGGATATATCAACATGAATATTACCTTTGTCTGTCAGCAGGACATCAGAGCTGCTTCCAGTTTTGGCTGCAATTATACGATGGCTCGGACATTCTCAGTCCAACCAACTCCTCCGCGGTCCTGGCCGATAGAACATCCCGATCTATTCGGATCAGTGGATCCTGGCCTCTTCTTTTTACTCTTCACTTTAGCCCTTACCACGCTTTTCTTGGCCATGCAGTGGTGCATCAATTGCTCGGAAAATCAAAAGGAACGAGCGGCGGAAGAGATTGCTTGGGGAATTACAAATGATGTTAATGGCGACGTTGATGGTCATATATAATGTTAATGAGGAGGAGGATTCAAGCATGATTTCGCAATGCCGCTAAACACGGATAGACACAATAAGTATGCCAAAACAGCGAAATTGAAAAGACATTCGCTACAACCTGATATACGAGTTATGCCCTACGCATGATTTTGTGATACTTGAAGGAAATCAATATTGATGACGCTGGATGATGAGCACACAGTCGCTGCATATACCTGCAAACAGGTGCTTCATAATTTGCTGCTTCATGTTTATCACCGGCCGCATAATCGAGGATGATGATGATGATCATAATTCATGAATGCACTCGCTGTCTATCGAGACGATAGTGATGTATAAAAGTCGGCATCGATTTGAGTTTTGAATGACTACAGTCCTACATCACATAATTGGGTCGGCACTGGGAAGTAATCATGGTCCATGGCCCCTTGCTTATCATATCGTCATTCGCACAATGGGTGGCAATATCGTAGAGGGCAAAAAAGAACTATTATCGTTCTTCAAACACTTTTTGGATGTGTTTGGATGCCACTGACTTTGCAACACGCCCGGATTGATCCTTGGTCTCGGCGAGCTGTCGGACTCTTTTGATATCCACAGTTTTCAGATGGTCTAATAACGTTCTCATGTCAGGGTCATCCGTTCCATCGCCCACGTTGTTCACCAAGAATTGCAACCACCAATTGCGGTCGGGAATCGAAAGTAAACGCCGTGAACCATCGACAATGGAACCAATATACTTTGCTCTCAATTGGTCAAGAATCGATTTTTCGTCACCCACGTTCTCCAGCAATTCGGAATTCTTTATTGGATTGCAAGCATAGACACTCACTATATCATCCAAAGTGAACACATTCTTTCTTTGATCTTCGTAGAGTGCTGTGTACAATCGAATGTGAATCGCTGGATTTACACTAGGAATCTTCAAGGATTGGAGCTTCGGGCAATTCTGGAGGATATTCTTTCCGACAACCGTCACGTTGGGAGCGACGTAGACCATTTCAGGACCAGTATCTGTAAAGGCTCCATATTCAATCGTTTCCAACGCAGTTGCCTTGGTGAAATCAACTTTCTTTAGATTTTCACACTGCTGAAAGGCATATTGTCCGACAGTCTTGACATTGGATGGACAATTGAAAGCAAGGAGACTAGGACACTTGTAAAAGGCTCGATATCCAATCCTTTCCAAAGCTGTGGCTTTGGTGAAATCAACTTCCTCTAGCTTTTCACATTCCGAAAAGGCAGCATAACCAATAGCCGTTACATTGCATGGATATTTGAAAGCAAGGAGGCTAGGACACTTCCGAAAGGCTTGTTCTTGAATTGTTTCCAGCGCATTTGCCTCGGTGAAGTCAACTTCCTTTAGATTTTCACATATAGCAAAGGCATCCACTCCAATAGTCTTGACATTGGATGGGCACTTGAAAGTAAGGAGGCGACCGCAATTTAAAAAGGCGTGTAATCCAATCGTTTGTAACGAAGTTGCCTGAGTGAAATTAACTTCCTTTAGCTTTGAGCAGTCCTGAAAGGCGCTCTCTCCAATAGACGTTACATTGGATGGGCACTTGAAAGCAAGGAGACTAGGACACTTCCAAAAGGCTAGTTCTCCAATCGTTTCCAATGCAGTTGCCTCGGTAAAATCAACTTTCTTTAGATTTTCACACTGCTGAAAGGCATATTGTCCGATAGTTTTGACGATGGGCACTTGAAAGCAAGGAGACTATAGGACACTTGAAAAAGGCCCATTCTCCAATCGTTTCCAACGCAGTTGCCTCGGTGAAATCAACTTCCTTTAGATTTTCACATTCCTTGAAGCCCCCCTCTTTAATAGTCTTTACATTAGGCCCGCGCACAATCAACTTTGTCACGGATTGTCTGATTTCTTCTGTAATTTCTTGATCTTCACTATCGTACACAAATTCGAAATGTTCGACACTCTCTTCTTCTTCATCATCGATGTTTGATTTTGGTGGCATTTCTTCTTCTCATTCATCATGTTCTTGTGAATATATTGTGTATACAATACGAGAGGATAATAACGAACAGATCTGTGACACACAACTAATAGTAGTATTATAATACCTCGCACTGATCCCAAAAGCCCAAAAGACTAACAAATATCCAGGTAACGGTCGGATAACGGAGTTATAGCTTTTGACAGATTTTCCTTCGCTTCAAATACCGGTGTTCCATTTCAAAATCATTCATTCTTCGCCAATCACCTTAATTTTACGATACGAAGACTCATTTCATCATCGCCGGCAAAATAACCGTGATCAGAAGTCATTGTCAACATCATCAGCACAATATAATAACCATGATATACACGCAGTACAAGTCATCATCAACCTACTCAACACTGCCGATCTTCAGTCAGCTACTATTGCTGATAATACTCCTCTCTCAATACATAATATGCGCTGCAGCAGAAGCAGACAATAATACAACTGCTCAAACCTACTTCCTGAATTGTTCCTCTTTTGAAAGCGTTATAGAAGGAGAAGGAGGAGAAGAAACACCATTGCACAACGACACTATGGCTGTGAATGATAGTAATGTCAGCAGCCTCACTAGCCTCAAGAGCATTGCGAACAGTGATACCACTGCGACAATCATCACGGTGGTTCATCCTGGAGACCGTCTCGTTTTGAATTACCAATACCCGCAAACAGTCGCACGCTATACTGCCAATGATTGCAGCGAATTCAGTAATGAAACACACTTTGGCATCTATGGAAACTCGTATCGATTTCAATCGAAAGAGGTGAACAAGAATTTTACCTTTGTCTGCCAGCAAGAGAATAATATTCACAATACTACTGCGATCATGAGTGATGATGATGATGATGAGAACAATAATGGCTGCAATGATGATGGTTCCTATACGAACGCACGGACCTTTGTAGTCCGCTCAGTTCCTCCGCCACGAAAACGGTCCTGGCCGATACAAAATCCCAATCGAGTCGGAGTGGTGGATCATGGCCTCATATTTCTGATGGTGGTGGGCGCACTGGGCTTGATATCTCTGGCCATGAATTGTTGCATGGATTACTCGGATAGTCAAAAGAAGAAAGCCGCTGATGACATTGCCCGCGAAATAATGAATGATATTGATAACAATGCTGATGATGTTGAGCGATGATTGGGTTCGGGGAATGAATCTACATGCACAATTCAGGATTCATGCCAATTGCCAGACAACTTTGCAACCTACTCGAAGAATTACCAAAATGGAAAGGCATCACTCTATATCACTCTCAGAGCGCTTTGTGACCTCAAGATTGTTAAAATTGAGAAACCGAGTATGATCATTTCACTACCGGCCGGTACGCAGCGTAGAAACTTGATGACAAATTATGACGATTGATGTTTGATGTACCTGCCTCTGAGCATTCGAAAATGAAATAAAATGAGGCCAAATAGTTATTTTCCAACCCTCTTATTATTACTTCATTATATTGCATCGGCAATTCGGGCAATGGTCATGGTCCATGAGCCAAGACTCCATGCATTGCTCGTGAAAGACATGGTTGCACGAAGCATTTGCAGAGATACAAAGACAGTGTCCAGGATGAAATCCGTCCAGGCAAATGGAGCACACACGCTTCTTATTATTAATACGGGAGGATCGGGCCGAAAACAAGTTTCGTACTGGTAGGAAGAATGACGATGTCGATGATGACTTTGCGGACGGTTTCTTGGTTTCGTTGAAGGCAATGACGCTGCCGCCATCGTCATCATTACTGACCTCTGTGATATCCTCGTCGTCCGTTTTATTTCTCTTGTTGTCAGGCAGGACATATTGGTATTGAAGCTTGGAAGAAATTAGTCTCTTTCGATCAATTTTCGCTAGGATGGCGTCCACAGTGGCATCTTCAGATCGATAACTTGAGAAGTATTGCTGGACCTCGCGATCTTGTATGTCGTTGGCATCGCGTTCTTGCTGCTGAGATGAGCGGTCGTTGCCTTGGCGCTGTTGTGGACGGTGGGTGTCTTCCGTATAACCTCTGTAAAAACCGACACAGCATCCATATATGGAAACGCAAATCATGCAAAGGATGACAAATCCAAAGATACCAAGGAAGCTCCATGCAATTATAGCTTCGGTCTCTTCGCTTAAGCCTCCACTACTATTTGAGTTGCTGCTTGCAGAAGAACTGTAGAGGTATCCGCCTCCACCTCCTCCCTTGGTGCGTCTTCCGACATGTTTGTAGGTCGTTGCATGATCGGGTTCCAGATGGTATTGTGATTTGGTTTGGATCGCAATAGGTTGGTTATTATTGCGATGACTTGGTCTTCGAAGGTACGGAACAACCATGTAGGTTTGATCAGATTGTTGGTTTGGTAAATTTTATGAGCGAGATGGAAATATGTGGTGTGAGAAAGTGATAACTTTTACTTTTAGTGTGTCAAATCACGACTCACGATTGAACGCACCAATTGTTGGCGTCTGAGACATGTCCAAGGATCTTTCTGTTTATCCACACTTATCGGGAGGAAAGATTCAGGGAGAGAGGTAAATCTGTTGGGAGGTGATCATAATATAAATTATATAAAAGTCATTCATCGCGACTATGCTATGTTTATTGTAGGGAATCAGTTTTGACGCGCCTGACTGAAGTTTGTTCCGGACGATCAGCAAAATCTACAAAAACTGAAAATATGCAGCGAAAGATGTACGTCTCACGGCCACTGTTCACCAAATGGAAGCGAGCCAGCCCTGATCACGTCAGAAATTTAGCCCATTTATACCGACAAGCGTGTTTATGCTCCCGCATCGCAATAAGCCACAATAAAACGAATCCATATTGAATATTATAATACCAGCAGACAACTCCTTTACATATATTTTATCATCATGGTGGTGCCCAACATACGAAACCCAAATCGCCATCGCACTCTTCAGGTAGCCACACCAACCAAGTCACAGTATCACCTAGAACCTGACCATACCTTTGCATACAGGCACGTTGGAAGACGCACAAAGGGAGGAACTGGAGGGGGGTTTCTCTATAGCAGCGGAGCCTACCGTTCCAATGGAGGTAATGGAACTGGCAACGGAAGTACTGTTGCGATTGTTTTTGCCTTGGTAGGCGTGTGCCTTGCATTCATTTGCATCGCTTTCGCATGTAGCAAATCGGAAAAGAGACGCAACGAGAATCACGGTGACATTCGTACCACTCGAAATTCCGTATATCGCCAGCGGAGTCAACGAGCCGCCGCCAACAACAACAACAACAACAACAACAACGCTACTGCCATTCAGTTCCACACTTCACAAAGCGTCTACAACAGCCCATCTGGTGGCGATCCAATTCAGTTCCATACTTCACCAAACGTCTACAGCACTCCATCAGGTGCTGTCGATTCAATTCCATACGTCACAGGGCCCATTCCTGAACGGAATATCGCAATGAAATCCAACTTTTACTTCCAAATTGTGTTGCCAGATAAGAGTAACATTGATCCAAGTGTCCTTAGAGAAGAAGCTGAAATGGGCGACACTGCTAGCGATGAGGATAGCGTGATTGAAAATGGCGACCCACCCGGCAAAGGGGGAATCCATAAGGGTACTAACAATTCGCTTTCCTCCCGATTTCTCATGTCCACTTGGAGACGACCAACCGCCAGCGACGAATGTTCTATTTGTCTACAATCGTACGAACCTGGACAAACCATCTGCTTGGCCAAGAACACTAATTGCAAGCATGTATTTCATCAGGACTGCATTGAGGAATGGCTCAGGGATCACTCTGATTGTCCGCTCTGCCGAGTGAATCTCGTGTACAAACCACCATGATCATGGTGTTATGCAGATGCGTAGTTTTTTGGGGCTAAACGTTTAGGTGTAGCATTTCAAGGTATTAGCATTGCATCATACTATATTGCCATGCCATATCTCGACAACTCGAGTATGACAGTACAACCATGTTTACTGGCATCATTGCATTGCAAATTCCTTTTTTCAATATGTAAGAATCATTTTTGCAATACTAGAAAAGTGAAATTTTGAGAAACAGTTTATAGACTTTCGTTCAAACCAATTAAAGCTTGAACTGTCTTTTGGTTTATGCATCTGAACCTTAGAATATGAAATCAATGAAGCCACTTTTGAAGTAGGGCTGGAAAGCGTTATAGGAGGAGGAGAAGAAAGATCATTGTACAATGGCACCATGACTGTGAATGGAAATAATGTCAGCAGTCTCACTAGCCTCAGCAGCATTGCGAACAATGATACCACTACTATGACAATCATCATGGTGGCTCATCCTGGAGACCATCTTGTTTTGAATTATCAATACCCGCAAACAGCCTCGTGCTATACTGCCAACGATTGTACCAAATTCAGTAATGAAACACACTTTGGCATCTATGGAAACTCCTATCATTTTCAGTTGAAAGAGGTCAACAAGAACTCTACCTTTGTCTATCAGCAAGAGATTTTTAACAATACTACTGCAATCATGGGAGATCATGATGATGATGATAATGATAGTAATGGCTGCAATGATGATGGTTCCTACACGAACGCCCGGACCTTTGTAGTCCACTCACTTCCTCTGCCACAAAATCTGTACTGGCCAATACAAAATCCAGATCGAGTTGGAATGGTGGACCATGGCCTCATATTTCTGATGGCGGTGGGCACACTGGGCTTGAAGTCTCTGGCCTCACTCAAATAGTCAAAAGAAAAAAAGGGCCTGATGAGTTTGCCCACAAATAATGAATAATATTGATAGCAATGTTGCTGATATTGAGCAATGATGGGGTCTTTGGAATGAATCTACATACAGAATTCAGGATTCATGCCAATTGCCAAACACTTGAATCACTCTTTATCAGCCTCAGAGCGCTTTGTGACCTCAAGATTGTTATAACCATACTCGGGTTTTGTCACATTGATCCTTGTGGTTCAAAGGGTATGCAATTTTGTCATTGATTTGGCCTGAATCAAGCATACAGCAGTGGCCTATGTTTTGCCCCAAAAACAGTATTTGTCGAATGGTGGGCCTAATTTCTTTGAATTTCTTTATTATAACATACATTTATTCTCTATGGTTACATGTAGCAACAATGGGTTGGCTGTGTTGAGAGTTTTCTAGGTAGAAGGGATCAAACTGCATACATTTGACCTGGATGATCAATTGGGCCTACAGTCCTCTTTCCGAGGGCCCCATGCAGTTACCCAGACAAGGTTTGACCGCCATAAAAGTTGTTATTGTACCTATAGGGATCAGTATTTGGCGATGGTATGGAGTGTAACGATGGAAAAGAGATGTTCGGCAACTGTTTTTCTTTTGACTTCATTCCAACATTTCAGATGACTCCGTGGAAATGTGTGAATCTGATCGGTCCTACACCAAATATTGTAATTCAAAGTGCATACACCACTAATCTGTATACATTAAGCAAATAGTGCACATCCAAAAAACAAGATATGTGATCACAACAAGGTCATTTGTACGGTTTGAGGCTCTGCTTGCCTCTTGGTTACTACTTTTGAATCGCACGAGTATATAGTACCGATAGTTAAAAAATCTGAAAATAAATCTAAACGGACAGATTTCGGACAGATTTCGGGCATACGTTTGACGTCGTCCCTAATATACTGTATGACTGAAGTTTGTTCCGGACGACCACCAAATATGCGTCGTACAGTGGTACAATAATAGTTCACCAAATTGAAGCGACCCGCAGCCCTATGCTGATCAAATGTGAAATTTAGCCCATTTATATTATACAGAGAATACAACCTTGTTTGCACCCGCCGCATCGCACGCCACAATTGAACGAATCATCCACCTGCAGAACTTATTCTTTGCAGATTTTATCATCATGGTGGTGCCCAACATACGAAACCCAAATCGCCATCGCACTCTTCAGGTAGCCACGTCAACCAAGTCACAGTATGATCTAGAACCTGAAAATACCTTTGCATGCAGGCACGTTGGAAGACGCACAAAGGGAGGAATTGGAGGAGGAACTGCAGGTGGATTTATAATTCTCTATAGCAGCGAAGCCTACCGTTCCAATGGATGCAATGGAACTGGCAACGGGAGTGCTGTTGCGATTGTTCTTGCCTTGGTTGGCGTGTGCCTTGCATTCATTGGCATCGCTTTCCAATGTAGCAAATCGGAAAAGAAACGCAACGAGAATCGCGGTGACATTGGGACCACTCGTATTTCCATTTATCGTCAGCGGAGTCAACGAGTCGTTGCCAACAACAGCACCGCTCCAAGCAACGACAATGCTACATCGGCTAATGCCGATCAGATTCATACTACACCAAACATCAGCAACAGCCCATCAGGTGGGGATCCAACTCCATACGTTACCGGACTCATCATTCCTGACCGGAATATCGCAATGAAATCGAACTTTTACTTTCAAACTGTGTTGCTGGATAAGAGTAACATTGATCCAAGTGTCCTTAGAGAAGAAGCCGAAATTGCTGGAGATAGTGTGATTGAAAATGGTGTTCCACCTGGCAAAAGGGGAATCAATAAGGTTGCTAACAATTCCTCTCAAGTGTCGTCCAGATTTCTCATGTCTGCTTGGAGACGATCCACCCTGAACGACGAATGTTCGATTTGTCTACAATCGTACGAACCTGGACAAACCATCTGCTTGGCAAAGAATACTCTGTGTAATCATGTCTTCCATCAGGACTGCATTGAGGAATGGTTCAACAAGGATCACTCAGATTGTCCGCTGTGCCAAGTAAATCTCGTTTGCAAACCGCTATAATCATGGCATTATACAGAGAAACAGTATGTGAGCCTTAACGTTTTTACGTTGTAGCTGAAATCAAACCGACGTGTAGAATGTCTTTGACATCATTCTCCTCTCCCCTCAAAAATGTATGGCTATTACCATTGCAGGTATTATACTTGTATTATACGTGTACCATTCCTCATCTAGTGTTTTTGGTCGTTCGAGTCAAACATTGGAAGAATGTGGTAGTATAGTTCTATACTGTACATTCAGTCGCCCCTTGAGCGATTGTGAAATACGAATAGCCGCTTTTATCATTTTGGAGTTTTGGTGGAAACCATCATCTCAATGAGTTATCGCTGAATGTTCAGCAGAAAGAGCCGCCAGCAGAAACCTGCCGTTTCTACCTACGACTGATGCACCAGCACACCCATCATCGTCGCCACATTGCGTTTTCTTTCTGGTGGTTCAGATCAGTAGAAAGTTGGAATTTGGGAAACACCGATGACGCCTGACTGAAGCTTGTTCTGGTAGATCTACAAGTACCAAGAGTATAATGTAGGTACCGGTAGCATTCAAGTTCTGCCTTTTCGCGACCACAAATGGACAGTTTAGATAGCTGTGATACAAACGCGCGCGATCCCCTGGAATTGCGGCACCAGAATTCTTCGAATCTATATCTGCAACATGCATATGCAACAACATGTGGACTTCATATATTACTTCTCGTGATGGTCGTGCCCAACATTCGAAACCCCAATCGTTACCGCACTCTTCAGGTAGCCACGTCAACCAAGTCACAATATCACCTAGAACCTGACCATGCATTCGCATACAGGCACGTCGGAAGACGCACAAAGGGAGGAACTGGAGGGGGAGGCGGGTTTCTCTATAGCAGCGGAGCTTACGGTTCCAATGGAAGCAATGGAACTGGCAATGGCGGTGCCATTGCGATTCTTGTTGCCTCGGTTGGCCTGTGTCTTGCGTGTTTTTTCATCCCGTTTGCATGTAAAAAGAGACGCAACCCCAGCAATCGTCACAACCGTGAAATGCATTCCACTCGAGACTCCATCTATCGTCAGCGGAATCAACGGGCGAACAATGACAATAACAACAACAATCGGGCAAGCAACGACAACGTTCCATCGCACGATTCCATTGATTTCTATTTTTCACCTCACGTCTTCAACAGCCCACCGACGAGGAGTGTCAATCAAAAAGGTTCAAACGTTTCAATGAAGTCCAACTTTTATTGTCAAACTGTTTTGCCAGATAAAAGCAACGTTGATCCAAATGTCCTTAGAGAAGAAGATGACATTGATACGGCTAGTGATGATGAGGATAGCGTGATTGAAAATGGAGATGCTACAGGCAAAAGGGGTAGCACCAACAAGGATGACGCTGTTGTTATTCTCCCCAGATTTCTCGTGCCCACTTGGGGACAATCTATTGGGGCGAACGCCGAATGTTCTATTTGTTTGCAAATGTACGAACCTGGACAAACCATCTGCTTGGCCAAGAATACTAAGTGCAAGCATGTCTTTCATCAGGACTGCATTGAGGAATGGCTCAAGGATCACTCTGATTGTCCGCTGTGCAGGGTGAGACTCGTTTGCAAACCTCTATCATAATCATGTTGTTATGTAGAGAATTAGTATCAATACAAACCGATACCCTTGGCATAGTTTTTCTCCGCAAATGCCGTACAACAAATAAAAAAACAAACGCATGATAACTTTAATCATCCCCTCAGGTTGTTTCTAGGTGATCGAGTCAAATATTGCGGTGTTAAAAACAAACAAACAAAAAACCATCATGGTAGTTTGCAGTATCTACATCTACCATAGTATATCCATTGTCATGATGCAGGATTCATTCCATAGCTCGACGCTTGCAGTCATTCGCCCGTTGACTGATTGCTATTCTTCTTACAATATATATAATAGTTTTGGAAGCTACTTCAATGGTTGACATTGTTCCTGAAAGTAATGTTAAACAGCAGAAGGAACAGGAACCTGCCGTGTCCACATTCACGTTGATCATCATTGCTGTGAGTTTAACTGAAGCACAAAATTGGAATTTTGAGAACATCATCGATGACGTCTGACTGGAGTTTGTTCCGGAACAACAACATCTAAAAACTGACAGATGGGCACGTGTATAGTACGGTGCTGTTACAACCTTTCCGCGACCATAAATAGACTGTCAACCAAATTTTTGGTAGCCCGCCGTGAAAAGTTGAAGCATTTAGCCAATAGACAAACGCTGGCAATCCAAGCAAATTCTTATCAGAAACATAATAACGCATCCACAATTACACAAATAAGGATCGACTTCACATTATTACATTTCATCATGGTCGTGCCCAACATTCGAAACCCCAATCGCTACCGCACTCTTCAGGTAGCCACGTCAACCAAGTCACAATATCACCTAGAACCTGACCATGCGTTCGCATACAGGCACGTCGGAAGACGCACAAAGGGAGGACGAGGAGGAGGACCTGGAGGGGGAGGCGGGTTTCTCTATAGCAGCGGAGCTGACCGTTCCAATAGAGTTCATAATGGAGGTGGACGTGTTGTTGTTATTCTTATTGCCTTGCTTACCGTATGTGCTGTGTTAAATATGATTGGTTGTGCTTGTAGAAAATCGGGAAACACACGGAGCGCCAATCACGCCAATCAAGGTGACATTCATGCCACTCGAGACCCCATCTATCGTCAGCGGAATCAGTCAGGCAACAGCAACGCTCCAAGCAACGACACTGTTTCATCGGCCAATGTTATTCGGTTCCATACTTCGCCAAACGTCAACAAGAGCCCATCGGGTGGCAATCCAGTTTCACACATCACAATCATGAAGACCAACTTTTACTTCCGAACTGTATTACCAGAGAACAGCAACATTGATCGAAATGTCCTTAGCGAAGAAGCTAAAATGGGCGTCACGGCTAGAGATGAGGATGGCGTGGTTAAAGATGGAGATCCTACAGGCAAAGGGGGTGCCAACAAGGACGAGGGTGCTATGAAGAACACTTCCATTTCCTCCCGATTTCTCAGCATGTCCCCTTGGAGACGACTTACCGCCATGGACGAATGCTCCATTTGTCTGCAGCCGTACAAATATGGGCAAACCATCTGCGTGGCCAAGAATACTCATTGCAAGCATGTATTTCATCAGGACTGCATTGAAGAATGGCTTAAGGATCACTCGAATTGTCCGCTGTGTCGAGTGACTCTCGTTTACAAACCTCTGTAATCATTTGCTGATACCCAATACATTGGGCTTACGCTTTAGGTGAAGCATTTTAATACTAGTAGGTATTACATCGTAGCTGAAGCATCAACCTTAATACTTCAGGCGATGCTATTTTGCAAGCAAGCCTCTATCACAATCACGTTGTTGTGTCGAAAACTATTATTTGGGGCTTGCAGTTTATGCCTAGCACTTTGAAGTATCAGTACTATACCCTTGATATTGTCCTTCTCCACAAATGCCCGCGCAACAAATAGAAACAAACACATGACAACTTCATCAAACTGTCCCCTCAAATTTTTTAGAGTCAATCGAGTCAAACATTGCAGAGTAAAACCCTCACTGTCTCATAACGCAGGATTCCATATCTCGACACTTGCGGTATTTGAAAGCCATTTCAATGATTGATATGATCCCCGAAAATAAGGTTCAACAGAAGAAGGAACAGGAACCTGCCGTGTCCACCTTAACGCTGAGCATCATCGCCGTTATTGCGTTTTCCTTCTGGTGTTCAGATCAGTACCGTATATTCATACCGGTATAGGTATTAGCATAGATATTATGTTTAAAACCTATGACGTCAGACTGATGTTGACAACTTATATCTACTGTAAAACTGCGACCTCTTACGCAGCAGACGAACGTTTCGCGACCACAAATGGACGGTCCAAGCGAAGCATTTAGCCAGAAATATTTTTAATATATATTTATAATACAAACGCGTGCAATTCCTGATCTTGGCACACAAATTCTTATCAGGAACAATCACGCACAAAACGAATGAATCATCGAACACAAAATACGCTGCAGACTGATTCGTAGATTACATTTCATCATGGTCGTGCCCAACATTCGAAACCCCAATCGCTACCGCTCTCTTGAGGTAGCCACGTCAACCAAGTCACATTATCACCTAGAACCTGACTATGCGTTTGCATATAGGCACGTCGGAAGACGCACAAAGGGAGGACGAGGAGGAACTGGAGCAGGGGGCGGGTTTTTCTATGGCGGTGCAGCATACCGTTCCAATGGAAATGGCGATCGAGATAGCGGTGGACGTGCTGGTATAATCGTTGGTGCCTTGATAGGCGTGTTTGCTGTGATAATGCTAATTGCTTGTTGTGCTTGTAGAAAATCGGAAAACACACGCAGAGTGGTCAACAACACCAATCACGCCGATCACGATGCCATTCGTGCCACTCGAGACTCTGTAAATCGTCAGCGAAATCAACGAACCAACAACAACGCTCCAAGCAACGACAACGCTACATCGGCAAATGTCTACAAGAGCCCATCTGGTGGCAATCCAATTTCATATGTTACAATGAAATCCAGCTTTCACATCCAAACTGTATTGCCAGATAAGAGAAACATTGATCCAAATGTCCTAAGAGAAGAAGCCAAAATGGGCGATACGGCTAGAGATGAGGATAGCGTGGTTGAAAATGGCGATCCCCCAGGTAAAGGTGGTGTCAACAACAACGACAACCACGGCGCCAATAATTCCCATTCCTCCCGATTTCCCATGTCCATTTGGAGACGATCTACGGCGAACGACGAATGTTCCATTTGTCTTCAATCATACGAACCTGGACAAACCATCTGCTTGGCCAAGAACACTAATTGCAAGCACGTATTCCATCAGGACTGCATTGAGGAATGGCTCAGGGATCACTCGGATTGTCCGCTGTGCCGAGTGACTCTCGTTTGCAAGCCACTATAGCCATGCTATTATTATGCTCGTAAATTTTACATTGGGATGACATTGTAGTTATATATTATTTTATTTCAACAGTACTGCAACATCGTAGGCGAAGCATCAATCCTGTTTACTTTATTTTTGCGACTTGCTCACTCACCACGCATTTTCATGTCTCCCTATATAAATAATTATACATACTGTACAGCTTATCCCTGCAATTAAATTGGTCGATTGAGTCAAAGATGTCCGCGATGATCTCAGTCGCACGAACACAAAACATAAATTTCAGAACAGTTAGTCCCATCATCTTGTGTCGCAAATGATGGAGGATTCCATATCTCGACACTTGCGGTCTCTTCGCCACTTGAGCCGTTGTAGTACAAATAGCAACCGTCATCCTTGCCATGCCAGAGCTTTGGAAGCCATTGACATTATTCCCGGTGCCAATAGCAACAGCAACCAAGACGAGGACGAACCTGCCGTGTCCACCTTCACGGTGATCATCATTGCCATTTGCGTGCTGTTTGTGTTGGGAGTCGTCCTGATGGGATATTGTGCCTTTCAGAAAGGATCGAATTATGATCCCGAACAAGCGAGTCAAACCAGAAGACCAGGCGCCAGAAGAACAGCAGTGGTCCGGAATACTACGACTGATAATACTACAAACAACAATAATAATGTCCCTCAATCGAATGATGAACGGCCTCCGGATCCTCGCCGAATGGAAAAGATTACTGTAAGCCTCTATTATGGAACTATTCATTCAGGTGACGATGACCAAATGAAAATGAGGAAAGCGTCTTCGGGACGATTCACCAAGAAAAAAACAAAATTCGAACCACGCCAACCCAACCCGGAAGACGAATGTCCCATTTGTTGTGATGATTTCTCCCCGGGGGAAGCATATGTCATATCCAAAGCATGCAACCACATGTATCATAAAAGATGTATTGAACAGTGGACTGTGGACGAACGAAAGGATGATTGTCCAGTGTGTCGGCAGTCCTTTCTGCCATCATCAGCCCTACCGCCTCCCATGATGCCACCCAATAGCAGAAGAAGGTGAGCTGGATCAGTACGATACATGGTGCTGTATCCCAGTGTGATGCTGGTTGACAAAGATATAATTGTCTGTAAAACATCTATAAGAATGTGGCTTTTAGTCTGTAGGTCCCATGTAGGAGAGGAAAACCCTATTTCGCTTTTCTAAAGTCGCGTATTCGCAGAGAGTATATCAACATGGAGTCGTTATCATCGTACGAAAGAAAAACAATTTCGTTTTCACTACTTTTATTGTGTTCTTTAAAAGACGGATGCAATAATCGAAGCAGCGATTGCTACAACGACAGTTGCGTGCTGGTGCTGGTGCATAGGAGCATGGGATCCCGATGGTTCGTCGCCGCCAACATCAGTATCAGTATTGTTGTCACTGGTGCCATTGTCACTGGTGTCACCACCATCAGTTTCATTCTTGACCACACACTCAAAGGTAGAAAGGTGCCCTGCTTCGTCTCTGGTATCATCACCTTCCAGCACAGGATTCTCGTCACCAGTGTACCCAACGCAATGCCAGCAGTTGAATACACGATCAGGATCATACTTGTTTTTCAGTTCCAACAATCTATCGTATTGGGTTCCCCAGAGAGAGTTGCGCCAGTCGGGTTCGACAGGGGAATGGTGATTGAAACAGGCACCCGTCACCGTGTTAGGAAGAACTTCGAAGACCTTGGACACCGAGGCTGGATCCGTAAAGAGATTCCATGCGGCACCTCGAAGGGCAGGGCTGACCGAAGTCTCGTTGTTTCCAACATTTTGAATGTTGCCACCCAAAATGTAATTGACAGAGCTGAGAAATCCACCAGGTGTGGAAACAATGTTGATCAAGAGATTGAAGATTTCGTCTGGATTTTCGCGTATGAACGAGGCCGGGACGAGGCGAGCTGCAATGTATTCGACACCAGCATAAGCATCTCCAGTGGCATCGGTTGCATTGGGATTATTGTAAGCATCGGCACCTCCCTTGTAAGTATACCAGTCAGGAACTTCTTCGGTGACAAGACTTGGCGGTAGTGCTCCGTACCGGCCCTCAATAAACTGAGAAATGGGTAGAAGCTCATCGTTATACCAAAGATCAAAGGCGTCGAGGTAAGCCGCCTTGGCTTCTTCTAGAGTCCCCATAAAGACGAAGTGAACTCCATTGGTACTAAAGAAACCACCAATGCGCGGATCTAGATCGGGACTAATCTCAATCCAGTAGCTGAACCACGCTGCTACTGCCGCACCACCTTGATCTGGGGCATTCTCGAATCCTTCAATGAACCAATTGGTGACAATAACGGGTGTCACTGGATGAAGCTCGTACAAGACATTAGTGACCACACCAAATGTGCCGCCTATATGAATGCGAATCAATGCAAATGGTGAGAATTAATGAAAACGTCCAGTATTATGGTGACACTGCATCAGATGTAATGATCGAGATGTAGATGTTACGTACCGCCTCCTCCACGAAGTGCCCAAAACAGATCAGTATTTTCACAAGAATTGGCGGTCACCATAGTCCCATCGGCCAAGACAGCTTCAAATTGAACTGCCTGATCGACTCCAAGTCCATATTGGCGAGAAGTGAAGGATAGACCTGATCCCTGAAGCCATCCGCCGGCTGCAGAAACGGTTCGTGCTCCTCCAGTGACGACGTGATAGTTGGGCCCGACTGCTTCGATGACATCGTTCCATGTCTCTCCACCATTGACGGCAACGACGGCGTGGTAGGTCGTTCCACCATCACACGATGTGTAATTGTCATAAATGGTTCCGTTCTTTTCAAAATTCTGCATCCAAATCAAGAGAGAATCTTTGGCAGTACTGGCTCCATGATAAGAATGTCCAGTAGTCTTGACAGTAACTTGAATATCGTGCGTCTTGCTAAAGCTAAGAGCGGCCTGAATGTCAGAAGCCTGCTTGGCTTCCACAATGTAGGCTGGCAAATCCATCCCAAATTCCGGGCGACAGAACTCCCGTTTGCAAGCATGGGCGTGCATACAGATTCCGCTTCCGGCTTGGGAAATGGCAAAGGCATTCGTTCCCAAACTTTCGCAAGAGTCCATGTAGTAGCCTGCGGGGAAGGGGCCATGAAGGGCGGCGTTAGCAGTGAGCATCTCACCCAAATCTTCGGTCCAGACGGTCGAGTTGGGCCAAGCAAGACATTCCTTGGCATTGTACTCCTTGGCCAAAGTCAGAATTGGGAATGACGATAGCAGAAGCAAAAGGTTCTGTAGAGATGGCAGCATGATCATCAGCAAAGTAATACGATAATGCGTTGAGATGACTGCAATCCGGCGGTGGGTATTATTTGTGATTTGTGCGATACGCCGTGCAAGAGGCGGAAACTCTTCGGCTCTTTTATAAAGTACGTGTACTGTAAGTACACTCCAGGTATGTGCATTCTTTATCAATTGACAGAAACCAAGATGCAGAAACCTCTGCTGCGTTCACTATTTTGAGCGGTCAGAAGCGGTGGTGAGCTCGAACCGAGCGATACATGGTATTGCACCGAACATATTACTCATAATGACCTTGTTAAAAAATTGAGACAAAGTGGTCATCAGGATTTCTTCTTTCTTGCATTACAGTGTTGGCAACAGTGGATAGGCAGAGCATTCTCTTTTGTGCATGTTGCACGGAGGTCAACAGACTCTGGATACACTTTACAAGGTACTGCTTGCGGTGACTCATGCAGCTTTGTGTATCTTTCCATTCACTTCAAGTAGCTTTTGCATATTCATCTGGCTGACGTATGAGGAAAATGGTCTCGTTACATTTAAAAGAAAAAGATCTTCCGTTTTTAAGGTCCGAACATATTAATACATTTTTTTAAAAATAATAAGCTTCAATTTTTTAGAATAAATCGGATGTTCGTTTTTTCCCTATTGATATAGGCGAGTTTCTGATCGTCTTTTTCCTTTTAAAAATAAAATAGTTGAAGTTCCGCCTTGAGTTGTTTGCAAGATATTTCCACGGCCAACCAAGTGTAAACCAGAGACATTTTGCAAAGGAGCTCCCCCTCGAGCTGGGAATCCACAGATACATGTAGCATCGTATAGGACGACACAATAATCCATCTAAAACCTAAACATCTTCAACATATGTCAGTTCGTCTTATCAATAACTCTTATAAACATTGTTGAATCAGATTGTTCTAATGCCTTGTTGCTTGTCCCCGTTTCTTGTATTTCGATTTTACTCCATTCGCCAAATATCACAAAAAGACATCGTCTCGACTCACCAGGTACAGTTTGTGCCTGGTACTGTAGGAGGTGTATCTTTCGCATTGATGTGGCAAAGCTTTCATTACTGAAAGGCTTTTGCATACCGGTGCTCACTAATGAATAAAAATCACACAAAACACACGCCTATTCAAAACTATGTACAGACCTGATATTCAACTCCCTCTACTCAACGAAAGCCTCGCCCAAAAGCTTGGTGGGGAGAGCCAAATGGATTTCCTTGTCATGGTTTTCTGTGAAAGCGTGCAAGAGGACGAGGAACCTCGATATTCTTTCCAAGGCAATGGACATGGAATCGATTCAGATTCGCATGAAGAGTCTCATTCAAGCCGCTCTTGAAAGCAACATCTTTGATGATGCTGTCCGAAACGGAGTCATCCTCAGAGCTACGCCCTCTTTGAAAAAGGCTTCAAGACGGAGCACGTCCAAAAGCTCAAACCCCACTTTGAGTCTGCCATGCTTGAATGTCGTTGGGTCCAAGAAGCAGTCCTCCATGAATACAAGAAGCGCTTCTCTACTCTCCGATGTATCTTTGAAGAAGAAGGAGAGGATCTTGGACAGAGCGCCATGAATCAGCGTCATGAATTTCCCAAGCGCATCCTCACTTGAGCTTGAAGAATGAAACTCTTTCAGATTTGGCTGGTTTGGCAATGATTGATTCGCTAAGTTGGCAGAGAAGAAGCATTGCAAGCCCCCGCAAACGATTACCAAAAGACAATAGCGGGGCTGCTTCAATCACAAATTATATGATCGATCGAAAAGTAGACGGTCAATATTGAACCAGCACACCCACCACACTCCGAAGTGCAGAAAGCGCCTGCTGACGAAGAAGACTTCAAAAGCTCAACTTGACTTGCAATAGTAACATAGGACGACCCAATAATCGATCTAAACCCTGAAAAGAAATTGATTTATCATCTCTGCCTACAAGCTACAGCTTGAAAACCTCGTCTATTTGCTACCTAGCTGAAATAATGTCAGATGTACTGTAGGTTGTGGATATTTAGAAATGGGGGAACATATTCCCCCATTGATATTTCAAGTTTGGGGGAGGAAGGGTCTTTGATAAAATATGAAACGTTGAAAACGGTTCCCTAAATTGTATCTGATGCTTTCTTCGTCAATGAGACAAACAACGGCACTGCCACTTCAGCGCTGCTTCATGATTATCATTGTCATGGAGCTTTTGAGCGGCGATGACTCAAATGTGATAGAATATGGTCTAACGATGACGTCCAACATCGAGGAACGAATGAATGAATCTTGAAGAATCTTCGGAATGTACAGGATGTGTTTTGATCACTTATGACGTACCAAGCCCAGACGGTAAGTCGTGAGGGTCTGTTATTTGCAAAGGCTGAAATCAAAGCTCACAATTTACAAAATAACAAAAAGCAATTGAAAATGAATACTTCCCCAGAGACACCCATTGCGACGGCCACTGTCATTCCTCTCAAACCAAACTATTCCGTCTCCACAAGTGAATATGTGTCACGAACAGGACCCACTGACCGAAACAACAACACTGCTCACCTTACCGAGTATCAGATCCAAGAGCTCATGAAGCAAGGCTTTACCAAGGGCTTGAGCATGTCCATGGAAGACATGAAGAGGGTTTTTGCTCTTCGCATTTGGATTGTCGATAACTCTGGCAGTATGCAGAAGCCAGATGGACACCGAATTATTACCTCACTCCAGGACCCCAATGCCATTCGAATGGTTCCCTGCTCTCGTTGGGACGAAATTGTCGAGTGTGTCGAATATCATGCGAGACTTGCTGGTCTCATTGAGGCACCCACCAGATTCCGTCTATTGAACGACCCTGGTGCCAACGTTGGGCCCCAACAGTTTTCCATTGCCGAAGATCACCACAGTATGATTGCTCAACAAGTAAATCAAGCGACGAGTATCATGCGTCGGGCCCGCCCTAATGGATGCACTCCATTGACGAGCCACATTTTAGATATTCACAATGAAATTTCCCAGATGGCACCAGCGCTTAGAGGATCAGGCCAAAAAGTTGCCATCACCATTGCCACGGATGGATTGCCATCCGATACTTTTGGATACAGCGGAAACTCCCAGAACATTGAATTTGTCAATGCACTTCGAATGCTAGAAGGCCTACCGGTGTGGGTCGTCATTCGCTTGTGCACAGATGATGAAGATGTCGTGAACTTTTACAATGACTTGGATGGCCAATTGGAATTGTCATTGGAGGTCTTGGATGACTTCTGCGGAGAAGCGGCCGAGGTCACCAAGGAAAATCCTTGGCTGAATTATGCATTGCCACTACACAGAATGCGCGAATTTGGTTTCCACGATCGTGTATTTGACATGCTAGATGAACGTCCATTGATGAAATCGGAAATCCGAGACTTTTTGCTGTTGTTGTGCGGTCAGGAACACTTGGACGGAATGCCAGATCCATCCATTGATTGGGATGTCTTTTTCCAGGATGTCGTGCGCCTGATCAAGTTTGAATCCTTTCAGTACAATCCAATGACTAGGAGAGTATCTCCCTGGATCAATACTTCCAGATTGAACAGAATTCATGGGAGTTCTTCCTGTGGCTGCTCCATCATGTGATGGAGCCGAATCGGCCTGTCTATGTTTTCATTTTTGCTTCACTTCCACTTCAGATATTACCGTAAAAGTTAAACGATTTTATATATGAGGAGTTCAATACTTGTTTAGACACACAGGTGACTTGAAGAAGGTGATGCCTAACGACTGCGAGATGCGAATGCTCACTGGTGTATCATTGCCATTATAATATGTTCAGCGCTGTTTCCCAAAATGATGATAACTGGCAGCACCTTATAACTTCAACGAATCGATAACTGATGCTATTTGACATGATCTTCGTCATCTTATCTGCTATCGATGAGGAATGAGATGATTATTGAATGATGATGATATCGATATTCGAATATAAATGCCTGCGTTATATTACTTTGAAAAATGATGCAGAAGTAGTCGCAGTAGTCGACCACTGGCATTGTCCGGGTTTCGATTGCGCTGCGACGGCAAGACTTTCATGTGAAACGTGACATAAAACAGTATAATAACACAGAACTACTGCAACGTAGTCAATTATTATTAACACCGGACAACTTGAAACTGCAATAATAAGCTACAACATGAATCCACCTCCGACAGCCCCAATGGAACATATTGTTCCTCTTCCGCCCGATTATGGGAATGCCAGTGCCCCACTCTCGTCACATTCTGCCAGTCATGACAAACACTCCTTATTTTCAGACTATCAGATTCAGCAACTCATCAAGCAAGGCTTTACCAAAGGTCTTTGTACAGCATTGGAGGACGCCAAGAAAGTGTTTGCCCTCAGAATATGGATTGTCGACAATAGCGGCAGCATGCAGCAGCCGGATGGACAACGCATGGTGCCCAATAGTAAAGGCAATAACAATACCATTAAGATGGTTCCATCTTCCAGATGGGATGAAATTGTCGATTGCGTCGAATACCACGCCAAACTAGCTGGTCTCATTGAGGCGCCCACCAGATTTCGTCTCTTGAACAATCCTGGTGCCAATGTGGGGCCACAGCAATTCTCGATTGCCGAAGAGCAAGGCACTAGTAGTAGTAGTAGTATCACTAGAGAGATTGGACAAGCAACGAGTATTATGCGCAAGGCCGGTCCAAGTGGATGTACTCCATTGACGAGCCATATCTTGGAGATACATACTGAAGTATCCAAAATGGCACCAACACTACGGCGACAAGGGCAAAAGGTGGCAATTATCATTGCGACAGATGGTTTGCCCACGGATGAAAGAGGGTATGGGGGGCTCAATCACAATCAGGAATTTGTGGAGGCACTCCGCATGTTGGAAGGACTACCAGTGTGGGTAGTCGTTCGATTATGTACCAATGATGATGCCATTGTCAATTTCTACAATGATTTGGATGGCCAATTGGAATTGTCTCTCGAGGTGTTGGATGATTTCTGTGGAGAAGCCCAAGAAGTGATCAATCACAATCCGTGGCTCAATTATGGCCTGCCACTTCACCGACTACGAGAATTTGGTTGTCATGATCGAGTCTTTGATATACTAGACGAACGACCCTTTCTCAAGTCGGACATTCGAGACTTTTTTGCATTGCTCTTTGGAAGAGAGAATTTTGATGGAATGGCAGATCCACTTGTGGATTGGGATGCCTTTGTGCAGCAAATTGCCCATTTGCTACAAACAGAATCCTATCAGTACAATCCTTTGACGAGAAGAGTGTCACCATGGATCAATGTATCCAGGCTAAATTGGATACATGGTCGCACGAAATGCTTTCCAGCCAATAACTGTATAATCAGTTAGAGTGGAGATGGCAATTAACCAACCTCATTGGCACCTTTGGTTATGATTACCATGTTTGTACTTTCATATTCCCGAAACCACTGTAGTAGAATAAAAACTAAAGAAAAACTGTGATGTATCATATTGAAAGGCTAATTGGAATTATGTAATATAAAACACAAACGAATCTATGCAGCAACCTCGTCCAAGGAAAATTCGACACTGCCGTCATCCTTCTTTTCCTCATAGGACGTCTTTGGCAAAACGCCAGCTGGGTACGGAATCACTGGTTCGTCAAGATAACAATCGTCTTCGTCCGAATCCGATGGCATTCGCTGCAAGAGAGGTGCGGGTGTGGTTCGCTTGGTATCTTCCACAGCTTCCTTGGGAGTGGTTTGGTCCGGAGTGCTGTTGGGTGTATCAAACACATTGGGTTCGTTCATGAGCGCACGAAACTTGGCCGAATCGGTGGATCCCTGAGATGGCGTCGGACTAACGGACCGAGGAGGTCGCTCTTCCTTGGAGGGCATGGTCCAATCGGAGTTCTTCTTCTTGCGCACAGACATGCCCTTGACCAGTTGGCGCGGTTTGGAAGCAAGAGACTTGATATTGGAGGTCAACCCAGACTTTTTCGTGCCCTTATCGGCAGGTTCAACAGGCGTGGCTGCAACAGGGGTGGCTTCGGTAGAGACAGCTCCAACAGAGACGGCTTCAATGGATTGGTCGTCACCAGAGCCAGAAGAGGCCAAGACAACGTCTCCATTTGGTACGGAATCGACGACTCCGCGCTCTTGCTTCAAATTTTGTGGAAGGGCGAGCTTGACATCTTCGCTGCTCGTACTGACTGGCTTGGTGGGAACTGATGGCTTGTAGAACTTTTGATCAACAAAGCCATATGAATCCTCTGCAATGGATCTTTCTTCCGTCAACATACTGCTTCCCTCATAGGTAGAGTCATCCGGAATCTTGTGATGGTGGTCATAATCTTCAACAGATTCGTCTTCGACCGGGGCCTTCTCTGCCACAGTCTCATTTTCGGCGAAGGGGGAAGCCTTGATATTTTTCACTGCGGGGTCCTCCACCACTGGGGGTTCCGGCTCAACCAGCTCCTCATCATCCCTTACCAAGAGCTCGGGGGGCAAAAGGTCGACTTCATCACCCAACTGGGAGACTTCGTCGTCATCAAGTGGTCCAAGCATTTGGTTGTTGTTACGGTCGCTATTGGAATTGTTACTGAATCGAGCAGTCTCTTGCTGGCTGTTGACCAGAGCCATATTCCTCGCTGGGATGTCGGGGATGACAATATCTCTTTGCTCAATACGCTCTTCGTCGAAAGGTCTTTCGGTTGTAGCACCCTCTTTGGGTTCATCGAAAGGCTTGGAGCTGCCGGAAGAATTCAATACATCGTGGACATTTTGTTCTGTTCCATCGGGATCAGTAATGGTCGACTTGGAACTCTTGATGCCATCATCATCGTCCGAGTCGTCATCATTCCAAATATCATCAAAGTTTTGTGTTGACTCTTGTCCCTGAATGCTGTGGACATCACCAAGGATTTGTCCTACGCGTCCATCGCTGATCAAGGAACGGTCGTCCATGATGTAAGAAGGGCTGGTACTGTTTCCGGTAACACTCTGGTTGCTGTTCGCAGTGTCGACTTTCAAAAGGCTGGCATCGTCAACGTTTTTAAGGAGGCTAGCATCGTCATTGCTTGGATTGGCTTCCTTTTCAAAGCCGTATTCATCCTCGGAACTCGATGCATCATCTCCTCCAAGTGCAGACTGGTTCTTTTTCTTGTTGTTTCCAATGTACTTGCCAACAATTCCTCCCAAAAGACCACCAGCCACAGCAGCTGAAGTATTGGATTTCTTGGAAGGCGATCCCCTTTCTGAAACTGGTTGCTCCAAAGAAGACAGTTGTGTTGGAACCGAGTCCAAAGTGGTGTACGGAGGGGCTACAGCTGCTGGCGCTTGCTGTTGCTTGTCTCCCCCAGGCAGAATGCTCATTTCTTCTCGGTAGGAATACAAAGAAGGGGCCAGGGATTGGTTCTCCATATCGTAAAAAGTATCACCATCGTTTCGCAAGGAGGATCCAGCATCACTCTCGACTGGATTGAGCAAGTATGGTTCGTGAAGATTATGGTCAGCATCTATCATAACTCCATCTGGTGTTGGAAGGGTCGATGGGTATCGTGGCTGTTCGATATGTTCTTGTTGTTGCTCAAAGTCGTTTTGCTTTTGGTAGTCTTCGGCAGAGTATTCCAATCCGGCATCATCCGACGGAGGTGTCGGGTCCGTTTGAAGTTCTGGAATATCACGTGTCACGTATTCTTCTTGGGCCTTGGCTTGACGGCTGCGACGACGACGGCGACGCCCGTACAACAAAAAGTATGCAAAGACACAGGCCATAATGACACCAATAACCACGCAGGCCACAATAGCAATCAACAAAGGAGACCAAGTCAATCCATCATCGCTGTTAGTGGTACCACCGCCACCGTCAATGGCATCTTCATTGTCATCGTTGGAAGCGTCAATACCCTCCAGTCCCATGCTAACCTTGGCAATCTGCTTGAGAATATCATCATTGGCAAGTTGGAGACGGAATTCGTAGACATCCAAGGCATTTCCGCTAAAGGTGCCACTGACCAAGGTTTGCAAGGTGGAGGATTCAATCGGAGCTGGAATACCAAATTGGACAAACCCTGAAACGAGTTCGGTCCAGGTTTTGCCTCCTCCTCCTCCTGGCGATCCTTGTTGTTGCGCTGGAGAAGTCAAGGGACCTCCTGCCGTAATGGCCGTCTGCATGTTCAATTCAATCTTGTCAATTGGGACTCCGTTCAATTCGGCTCGCAGTGAGGTTTCAAAGTGCTGCAAGGTAATGTCATACAATTCCAGCCGATCGGGCCCATTGAAAATGTTGAAATCCAAATTGCGATTGAATGCGTAGGTCAAGGTAAAGGCTTCCACCCGCAAACGAGTAGGATCCGTGACGGTGGGCGAAGCACTTGGAAGTCCTGTAGGAGGATTGGTCGGAACCACTGGTGCAAGCGTCGGTGCCATGGTAGGGACGACGGGAGCGATAGTATCAGCGCCATCGACTGGTGCAAGGGTGGGAGGATTGACTGTTGTTTTGAGGGAAGAGAATCAACGAGTGCAAGAAAAATTGAGAATAAGTCGAAACGAATATTATACACAATTGGTGTGACACGAGGTAGCAAAGGGTCAGGCATTGCTCCGTCACCATTTTCCAACACGCAGACAATACCATCCATCATCATAATCATCATCAAGACATATTAAACTTACAGATACCTCCATCTTCGCCATCTTCAGTGGTTGGTGGGTCAGTGGGCGCAGAAGGTGTTGCCGATGCCAAAGATGTTGGACTTATGGTAGGCACGTCAGTGACTAGACTTCCATAAAAAATACTCCAAAGCAGGCATGGTTCCAATTCATCTGGTGTTTCGCCTGGTGCAGGCATGGTTTGAGGTTGTCCCACCGCAATGTAGGCTGGTCCACAGATCTCAGGAGGTTGGTCCGCCTCCAAATCGTCCAGTTTCCATTCAAAAGAGTCCTTTTCACATTTTAGTTGGGTCTTTTTGTCGACTTCCTTGGGGTCTCGGCAATGGAAAATATCATCTGGCTGTGCTTGCGCAGATAGAGATAGCAAAGCCATCAAGAACATTAGCATTGTAGTTGCCGCGTAATGTGAAGATTTCGTCATTACGAATGTGATTGTTTCAGATAAATGATTGTTTCAGGTGGCTTCAGATGGAATGGAACGATTGACACCTCTTCCGAATATGCTAGCTTCAGTTTTTGTGCTTGAAGCAGTATTTGGGCAATAGAAAACTGGTTTGGTGGCTGTCTGATATCACAAAACGCACACAAATACAGTAACACTTCTAAGGCGAAATAGAAACTTTCTGAGATTCTTAAGATTTCTGATGCGAAAAGAATCCTTTCTGCTGTGCTGTTGAAGCTTTTAGAATGAAGTTGCTGTAGATTGATTACAGCAAGTATTCTATTGTTGAAGACTTCTGTGATGTTGCTTCAACGCCTTGAGAGAAAATTTCTTTCCTTTGTATCTCCTCTCCTGCTTCAGTTACCAATTCCCAGGGTTTTGGGAGTGGAAAAGTGACGCCGAGGCACGCTTCCTGGTTGGATTTTTGTCGGTAGGCTTTTACAGTGGAGGTACGAGAGCGGAAGGCTCTTGCGCGCCAGTCAATCTTGCGTCCTTTTTTCTCATGGAATTTACCTAACCACGTCGTTGTCGTGTTGTATGTCTCAACGGAAGGATCAGACCAATGATTGATTAGCAAAATCCTCAGATCGGTAGGTTGGACATTGCCTTGGACGTACATCGTACAGACACAAGGATCCGAGCTCATTTTTTTCAACCTCACCAAAAATTCCACAAATATTTGTCTCGTTCAAACGAGAACGGACAAGTGACACGAGTGGTGTTTGTGATGCAGTTTGAATCTATCTTGAAACTCGTCGAAGACCCACGGCTGGTAGTACATTGACGGTTGACCAAATCATCGTCCTTAGAATAATCATTACCTACGAGAAGCCATCACTGACGCCTAGCCTTCCGCCTATCTACTTGCGGTTCAGTTAGTTCCTGCTGGACTTTCGCACCACAATGCCAAATGCAGATGGACTTCCGTATCATGAATCTCAGGCACTCTTGAGACAACTTTGTTTGATGCATGCCTTGAATATGCTAGTGGGAGAACCACGCCTAAATCAAGCCCACATGGATCAAGTGTGCAATCAACTGGTCCAACTATCACCTGAACCGTCAGTTTCAACGACCAATCCGCACAGGGGAAGATGGCTGGGAGGAAATTACGATGTCAATGTTGCCATCTATATTTTGGAAAATGAATGGAATTACCAAGTAAATTATTATTCTCGTCGACGGACACCCAAGAATAACAGCAATAGTAACGAGAACATGGATGAGTCAGTAGAGGAATCATCATCCTTGTCATCCATGGAGGGGGTCTTGGTCAATGTACCAGGAACATTTCCATGGACACGGCATTGGATCATGTACAAACCATGGAACCGTGGTGAGGGCGCGGCCAAACAACAATGGTACCGATTGGATTCCAAGGCGGCGTGTCCAATTCAAGTAAAAGACCTTCAGGTCCAAGTCGACAAGCATTCCCAAACTGGTGATACTGTATTGACCATTCAAAAACAGCAAGGTGAATGATACGCGGGACGAATAAGTAAAAAGAAACGAAACCACCAAAGCAGCCTTCCTAGGACAATTGGATTCATGATTTTGGAAAAACTAACTGCTGCATCAGTTAGTCTTTACTAAAACCAGGAAGAACTACCAAAACAAGGAGTACATGACTACTTGTCTAACATGTCCCACAACCCCAGCTCTCTTCAATTTCAAGGAAGACAGTTGGTCGGTGAAGTTGGGTGGACCCAGTTTTTTAAAGTTATTGCAGTTGCGCCCTGGTGTGATTCTTGGATGTAGAATCGGGCAGCATCTGTGCAAAATATATCGCCATTGAGTGCAGTAATTGATACCCTTTTCATGGTACTTGTTATACTACTTGTCACTATGCTGGATGTCCAGTTTTAAACCATGATGAGCAGAATTCAAAGCCGCATATATTAACCCGTACAGTAGGTTCGCTTCCGTGATGAGTCAGACTGGCACTATGACACAACTCTGTTCAAAATTTGTGACCCGCGTTTTGAATCCAAATAATGTTATCCACCACCTCTAATAACGTGCAATGAGGTGGAAAGAAAATACATTTAAGGAGCCATGCCTGGTCAGAAGATAAGTGGATAAATACTATTGTTAAAAACTGTACACATTTTACTCTTGCCACTCGTGCATATATTCCCTTCCCGACTTTTTGGATTAGGTGAGACATTTTCTTCGTTCGGAGACGACAACCACATACCAAAGCATGATGAAATCACAGATGGATGATGTTGCTAAGATAATAGTAGACCAAAAGCTGCAAGTAGATGAACTCGGCTTGATTGGCAGAGAGCAAGAACAGGAAGAATTGACGTCTTGCTTCGATCGCATGTTTCAGCAGGTCAAGCCTGAGTATTCTCAACAAGGAAGCTACGACAAGCAACTTGTTTTGGTCAGCGGTGAGAGTGGTACTGGAAAATCGAAACTTATCGATGGGCTGTGTCAGCATGCTTCATCTTCGAAACATTCTGAGAAATCCGTGTTGCTGGGTCGGGGAAAGTATGATTTCAACGAGTATTTTGTTGAGCCATATTCAGGTATTGTTGCAGCATTCGAAGATCTTTTCCAACAGGTCAAGACAAACGAAGGAGGTTCGCTTTCGGTAGAAGCTATTGGATCGTCGTTGAGAGAAGAGCTTGGGCAAAATACTGAGACATTGTTAAGGCTTTTACCAGGAGTTGATGAAATCCTTTCCTTGGATGATGCTTCAGCGAGCGTATCGTCGTCAACAGTTACTGAGGACTTCAATATCGAAGCATCTCAGAAGCAACTCAAGTATTCCTTTCAGGTCCTTGTAAGGGTTCTCTGTGAACACTGCAGCTCATTGGTTTTAGTGCTGGCTGATCTCCAGTGGTCAGACGAAGCTTCGCTGGATATAGTGGATCACTTGATTTCCGATGTTCAAAATCAAAATGCTCTTATGGTCGTGGGGTGCTATCGGTCCGATGAAGTAGACGACACCCATGCCCTCAGCCGTAAAATTAGAGCCCTACGAGGGAAAAGTGAGAGTCAGAAAATGGAAATGACGGACATTCATTTGGGTGCTTTCTCTCTGGAATCCACCAACAATGTCATCATGCGGTTGCTATCGATTGGCGATTCGTTGAAAACGAAGGATCTAGCTGACATATGTTTCAAGCGAACCAATGGGAACCCACACTTTCTCATCGAGCTCCTGATGCTGCTGAAGGATGCAGATTTGCTTCGTTTTGGTCGACTGCAATGGGAATGGGATGAAAGCGAAATCGAAAGCTTCACCAAGTCTATTAACACTGTTGAAGCCTTGCTTCAAAGCCGAATGGAGAAACTATTGGATGCTGAAAAGCTTCTTCTCCAGTACGCCGCTTGTCTTGGCTCTTCGTTTCAAGTTGATGTTCTGAATCTTGTGTGGAAGAATCACAGTGCAAACAATTTTGATTCGAAGTCGATAAAGGATTTGGAATCTTTGCTCCGTGGCCTAGAGAAGGGACACTACATCGAGTCAATTGGAGTGAATAAGTACGGATGGGTTCACGACAAAGTCCAAGAAGTCGCCTTGTCATTGGGCGACTCACAAGAGTCTTCGTTTCAGTTCGAGATCGGCACCATATTGTACAAGACACTGGACGAGGGTCAGCTAGATGGTTTACTATTTGACGTGGTTGACTTGATCAATCAGGGTAACGTCAAACGCAGACCAGAACTGGCGGTATTGAATTTGCAGGCAGCTACGAAGGCTCGACGAGTTTCTGCCTTTTCCAACGCAAGTTTGTATGTGGCTCATGGTATTGATCTCCTTCCAAGTGACAAATGGTCGAGTCATCGCAAAACGACACTTCGTCTATATACGCTTGGTGTCCAGTTGGGACTTGCGACCGGTGATGTTTTTACCATGGAAGAATACAGGGATGAGATTCTCTCGCAGAAGGACTGCAGCATTATCGAAAAGCTTCCCATCCAAGTTGCCTACACCAATCGACTTTGCGCCTTGTCGAAGTTTTCTGAAGCCATCGAGCTTTCGTTAGATCTGCTGAAGGAGCTTGGTTGCAATTTGATTCCACATCGATCATTAGTTACATTACAGGCAATTGCTTCCCTGAAGAGCACAATAAACATGGCAAAGAAGATAGTACCAGAAGATTTCTGTCAGTCCCATCCCTTGCTTACCGATCCCCATCAGAAAGCAATTATCCAAGCTCTTTCCAACCTTTCATATGCCGGGTACATGAGTTCCAAGCCATTAGTTCAGGGGCTAGCTGCAACACGAGTTGTACAAATTACCATGAAGCACGGTATCAACGACGGATCTGCGATTGCATTTGCTTCACTTGGGTTGATCGCAAAGTCAGCTTTTGGGGACTTCGCTACCGCCTCGTTATTGGCGAATACAGCACAGCTCCTGCAGTATCGAGATCCGTATAATTTCCAAACTGCAGGGTCTCTTTTTGTCGCATATTTTTTTTCGATTGGCTGGAGTGTGCCACTACATGACCTATTCAAACCGACGAAGGATGCATATTTGACTGGTATGAGAGCTGGAAACAACGACTATGGCTTTTGGTGCTTATTTTTGCGTAAGTGATTAGTGGTTATTGCACATTTTTGATTTTTGATTGAGGGTTTCCAATAACTTAAGATCTTCATCTCATCATTGAATCAATTTCTACTTTCAGATCATGTGGTGCTGCCGTTACAAACTGGCAGGCCACTTGGGACTATCTTGGCGCGATGTCCAGAGTGCCTGTATCAAATGGAGGACTACCAAATGGACGAACACTGCTTCTACACAAGACTAGAATGGCAATTTTGTCTGAACCTTGCTGGACAAGCTGAAGATCCAATGAAGCTCCGCGGTGGAATTTTCAACGATAACATGGCCGAGGAAACCATTCCACTCCACATTGCAAATGTAAACGCAGCACAGATTGAGCTCTGGGTCATCTACCGCGCCTACGAGCAAGCTGCAGAACTTGCCATTGAGTGCGGTGAATCATATTGCAAGCTAACAAACTTGACATTCAGGTGCATGCCAGAAACATTCTATCGAGGACTGGCATTGTATGCAGGCTATCGAGATACAAAACAACGAAAGTACAAGAAGCACGCCAAACGAGCTTGCAAGAAGCTTGCATTGTGGGAAACAAAAGGAGTCCCAGGCGTGGTGCACTACCACGCACTGTTGAATGCAGAACAGGCAGCTGTCGATAATAAATACAAAGACGCCGACCTACGATATCAAAAAGCCATCAAACTCGCGGCAAGTCTTGGATACTTGAACTGCGCAGCCCTCTTCAATGAACGATACGCAGATTTCTTGCAACAGAAGGGTCCATATTTTGAATCCCGTTCGGGTGATGTTGTGTTTCGACTCGGTGAAGCCATGCGATACTATAAGGAATGGGGCGCAGTGCTTAAGGTCGAAGAAATTCGAAAGAAGAAGATCATATGCTTGAGCAAAGCGAAGCTCCGTCGAGGTGCTTAGAGATCATCAGACTATGCTAGTATGACTATCAAGGTCAGCTTTAGCTCTCCTATTTTTGCTTCAATCGACTGACTCGTTCGAATAAATACGCACTGACTTTATTATCCTTCGCAGTATCGTGATTAGCGGTAATCCAAATTTCACCATCTCTCTTTAGAAACATCCCAGATGCCTGGTACACTAAATACATATATATATTGTCTGAGAGTTCCTTTGGAGTCAAACGGCAAGTATGACTTTGAACCTATCCAAGATACCACAGAAACCCGGTTCAATGCATCTACCGTACTCCCGTCGTGTGTCAACTTTGTCGTATTCCTGACAGATCTTGTCGAAAAGTACATAGAAAGATGATATCTGCGGTTATTAAAGTACTCTTCGGTGGCGCTTTCGAATGAAAGAATGAATGAATGAAAAAAGCATATAATACAGTTTTACATTTGTTTTTCCATTTTTATGCTATTTTTCCGCCAATATATGGATTTTTATTGAAAAAATAGAAAGTTTTTCATTTTTTCGGTCACTATACAGTTTCGGCCTTGGTTTCGGCAAGATGTACAGTAACTTGCGGCGAAAGACGGTCTGCGAAAGCCATTTTGCTCTTTTCCCTAAATGTTGTCTTTTATAGCTGGGAAGGCACAAATTCTTTCAGTTCCAAAACAAACATAGCGGTACCGTGCAGTCCACGTCAACACGAATTTAGAAGAGAACAAAAATTGTGTATTTTGCCTGTAGACAACTCATAATTTTTTAAAGAGGAGCATTGTCGCTATGCCACCGAGTCTCCCTTCCGACTTACACTCAAGTGAGCTTCCAGAATGCCAGGAGCTGACAGCAACACACAGCAGGCAGACCCCATTTCGCGGCGATGAATCTAAAACTGCTGATGAGGCGGCTGGGATTTTGGAGAGTGCTCTCAAAAGTTCGGCTGGTGACGTTGTTCGTTCAGAGGCGACCGTCAAAGTGACATTAAGCGCACAGTTGAAAAAAGCCCAGAAAGTGCAGCATAAGCTTCCAGTCGACGAACTAGGCATGGTTGGCAGAGAACAAGAACAGAAAGAATTAACCTCTTCCTTCGACCACATCTTTCATGTGAACTCCGAAGAATTGGAAAGCTTCAAGAAGCAAGTCGTTTTGGTCAGCGGAAAGAGTGGTACTGGAAAATCAAAACTTATCGATGGGCTATGTCAGTATGCTTCATCTTCGAAACATTCTGACAAAACCGTGTTGCTGGCTCGGGGAAAGTATGATTTCAACGAGTATTTTGTTGAGCCATATTCAGGTATTGTTGCAGGGTTCGAACACCTTTTCCATCAGATCAAGACACACGAAGGAGGTTCGCTTTCGGTAGAAGCTATTGGATCGTCGTTGAGAGAAGAGCTTGGGCAAAATACTGAGACATTGTTAAGGCTTTTACCCGGACTAGAAGATATTCTTCCTTCAGATACTTCAGCTGGTGCAGCGACTCCATCTAATGAGGTATTTAATGTTGAAGCATCTCAGAAGCAACTCAAGTATTCCTTTCAGGTCCTTGTAAGGGTTCTCTGTGAACACTGCACGGCGCTGCTTCTAGTTTTAAATGATTTGCAATGGGCAGACGAAGCTTCGCTGGATATAGTGGATCACTTGATTTCCGATGTTCAAAATCAAAATGCTCTTATGGTCGTGGGGTGCTATCGGTCCGATGAAGTAGACGACACCCATGCCCTCAGCCGTAAAATTAGAGCCCTACGAGGGAAAAGTGAGAGTCAGAAAATGGAAATGACGGACATTCATTTGGGTGCTTTCTCTCTGGAATCCACCAACAATGTCATCATGCGGTTGCTATCGATTGGCGATTCGTTGAAAACGAAGGATCTAGCTGACATATGTTTCAAGCGAACCAATGGGAACCCACACTTTCTCATCGAGCTCCTGATGCTGCTGAAGGATGCAGATTTGCTTCGTTTTGGTCGACTGCAATGGGAATGGGATGAAAGCGAAATCGAAAGCTTCACCAAGTCTATTAACACTGTTGAAGCCTTGCTTCAAAGCCGAATGGAGAAACTATTGGATGCTGAAAAGCTTCTTCTCCAGTACGCCGCTTGTCTTGGCTCTTCGTTTCAAGTTGATGTTCTGAATCTTGTGTGGAAGAATCACAGTGCAAACAATTTTGATTCGAAGTCGATAAAGGATTTGGAATCTTTGCTCCGTGGCCTAGAGAAGGGACACTACATCGAGTCAATTGGAGTGAATAAGTACGGATGGGTTCACGACAAAGTCCAAGAAGCCGCCTTGTCATTGGGCGACTCACAAGAGTCTTCGTTTCAGTTCGAGATTGGCACCATATTGTTCAAGACACTGGACGAGGGTCAGCTAGATGGTTTACTATTTGACGTGGTTGACTTGATCAATCAGGGCAACGTCAAACGCAGACCAGAACTGGCGGTATTGAATCTGCAGGCAGCTGAGAAGGCTCGACGAGTTTCTGCCTTTTCCAGCGCAAGTTTGTATGTGGCTCATGGTATTGATCTCCTTCCAAGTGACAAATGGTCGAGTCATCGTAAAACGACACTTCGTCTATACACGCTTGGTGTCCAGTTGGGACTTGCGACCGGTGATGTTTTTACCATGGAAGAATACAGGGATGAGATTCTCTCACAAAAGAATTGCAGCATTATCGAAAAGCTTCCCATCCAAGTGGCGCATATCAATCGACTCTGCGCTTCATCGAAGTATTCTAAAGCCATCGAGCTTTCGTTAGATCTGCTGAAGGAGCTTGGTTGCAATTTGATTCCACATCGATCATTAGTTACATTACAGGCAATTGCTTCCCTGAAGAGCACAATAAACATGGCAAAGAAGATAGTACTTGAAGATTTCTGTCAGTCCCATCCCTTGCTTACCGATCCCCATCAGAAAGCAATTATTCAGGCTCTATCGAAGCTTGCCTACGCTGGTTTCATGAATTCCAATACCTTCGTTTCTGCGTTAGCTACCACACGAATCATACAAATCACAATGAAGTATGGCATTAACAGCGATTCTTCAGTGGCATTTGCCACACTGGGTTTGATCGCGAAGTCAGCATTCGGAGACTTTGCCACGGCAGCATTTTTGGCGAATACATCACGGCTCCTGCAGTATCGAGATCCGAATAATTTTCACACTGCGGATGCTCTGTTTCTCTCGTACGTGTTTTCGATTGGTTGGTCAGTACCACTACAAGACCTGCAGCAACCGATGAAACTGGGTTACTTGGCTGGTATGCGAGCTGGAAACAACGACTATGGCTTTTGGTGCTTACTGAAGTGTAAGTGTTTTCGTGCAATACAGGCCCTAAAATTCACTGTTTTCTGACTTCTTGTCATCAATTCAGATCACGTGCTATTGCCTTTGCATACTGGCAGGCCACTAGGGACTATCTTGGCACGATGTCCAGAGTGCTTGTATCAATTTGAGGACTATCACTTGGATGAACAATGTTTCTACACAAGACTGAACTGGCAAATTTGTCTAAGCCTTACTGGGCGAGCTCAAGGACCAACGAGGCTCCACGGTGGTATTTTCAACGATAATATGGATAACGAAACCATTCCGCTCCGCATCGCAACAGTAAAGAAAGCACAGGTGGAATTGTGGGTTCTCTATGGTGCCTATAAACAGGCTGCAGACCTTGCAATTGAATGCGGCGATTCATATGATAAGCTATCAAACCTCTCATTTATGTGCATGTCAGAAACATTCTATCGAGGACTGGCATTGTATGCAGCACATTGCGATACAAAACAACGAAAGTACAAGAAGCACGCCAAACGGGCTCGCAAGAAGCTTGCGCTTTGGGAAACGAAAGGAGTCCCAGGCGTGGTGCACTACCACGCTCTATTGAATGCAGAACAGGCAGCTGTCGATAAGAAATACAAAGACGCTGACCTACGGTATCAAAAAGCTATCAAGCTCGCGGCGAGTACAGGATACTTGAATTGCGCAGCTCTCTTCAATGAACGACATGCCAATTTCTTGCAACAGAAGGGTCCATATTTTGAATCCCGTTCGGATGATGTTGTGTTTCGACTCGGTGAAGCCATGCGATACTATAAGGAATGGGGCGCAGTGCTTAAGGTTGAAGAAATTCGAAAGAAAAAGCTTATATTCGCGAGCAAAGCGAAGCTCCGTCGAGGTGCATGACTATAAAGGTCAGCTTTAGCTCTCTTATTTTTGCTGCAATCGATTCGTTCGAAATAAAGCACTGACTTTATCCTTCGCAGTATAGTTATTAGCGGTAATCCAAGTTTCACCATCTCTCTTAAGAAACATCCCAGATGCCTGGTACACTAAATGCACAATCTCCTGTGCGATAGCAATCTTGATACCTTTTGGTGCCTTTTCGTACTGTTTCTGGAAATCCAACACTAAACTACGGAGTCGTTTATTCCCAATGAAATTCTGAATCGGCGTACCCCTGCCCAAGAGCACATCGTATTCGGAGGGGACGAAAATTTTGAGTCTCTTTGGCTTATTCACTCGTTCTCGCTTCCGTTGCCGACGAAGCGATTGCTGGAAGGAATCCAAGTCAGCTGGCTTGCCGTTGTCTGATATTGGAATTATTGAGGGCTTAATGCCATGGCGTTGTAGGCTGGCCAGACACTCTTTGTGAGATCCTATACTCAAGTTATTGCGATGAGGTCACGAAATGTATTGAGGAATGCTGAAAATGAGTCTGACTCACCATAATGCATGCGGATCCGAACTTTGGCAAAGGTATTGAATGCCAGCTTGACGACGGAATGAACCGGTGTCCAAGCTCCTGTGTCGTAGCACATGTGGATCGCCACCACGCGCATGGGAAGACCTTCATTCATCTTTGGCATCTTCCAACTAATATCCGAATTGAACCCAGACGTTGGTCCATGACCAAGATAGTACGCAATAGTTACTGTGCCTCTCCTTTGGGCCTCGGAGTCTTCGCTCTGAACCGTCGTTGCCGTATAGAACGCTCGTCGTAACTATAATATTGAGGACGGAATTTTAGTAAGGCACGCCTATCTTTTGGAATCAGCAATCGGTTTCTTGTGAGAACTTACTATTGCCTCAGTTGGATGGTCTGGATTAGCGATTAGGACGTTCACTAGCCTCCCAGTCTGGTCATGTTGTGGTAGGATTCTTCCATATCCACTGTAGAGAACATCCATTTCCTCTTTCCCCAGATCATCCTGGGTAATATCCAGCGCTAGTTTATCGGCTCCAAACAGATCCATCTTGAGCTGAAAGTGACGACAGAGTCGAATCGCTGCCTTTTTCGCATTGAAAAGATCAGCTCGAAGAAACTTCAGTCGAAACTCATCGTTCATGACATAATGTGGATCCATGGATTTTGCAAGATCATAGGCCTCTCGGTTTGCAAGCTCCTTCATTGCAGTCTCCATCTCCATGAGACTACTTTGTATCAAGTCAGGAGACTCGTCTTTGGGCTGAGAGACTCCATGGATGTCAAGGTACGCCTTTTCACGATCTTCAACCGACAACTTTGAAAGCTCAGCTGCGATTATCGAATCAACAACATCTGGATTTATTGCAGCTTCTTTCGGTACTTCTCCTTGAAAGAATCTTCCCATGGCTTAGCCGTTGTAGGTATTGAGTAATAATGTACAATGGCGAGACAAATTTGACTACACCGTGTTCACGAACAACAAAGGACAATGCGATGTAATTCGGTTGAGATAAAATAAATGCGCCAGATGAATCATACCGGTAGTGTAATAATAAACTTCACGTAAATTTTAAAATGCGCACGCAGTACCGCTTTTGATCACCCGCGGTGTGTCATCTTTGTGCGAACACCGACCGCGCATATTTACTAGTTCCTTTTGACACCGTTGTTTCAATCACAGTGTGTTCCCTCCTACTCGTATATAGATATTATATATTGTGATTATTTTATCTATTTGTTATTTTTTTTTAAAAAAAAATCTGCGCATTATAAAATGGTTTCGAAATGGTTTACGACATATACGAGTATACCGGTATACTCGTACGATATATATATCTTGCCAATAATCACCATCCTACTCTGTTCGCAACGAAATGTTGAGCGCTGACAGCAGTTTCTAGGCAGGCATGGATGGATTGTTTCGATCAGGATACCTTGGTACCCGGTACTGCGTTAGAGTTGCAGTTGTACCATCTTTTTCTTTACAATCGCTTCAAACTTGAGCACTACATCCCATTCCTTTTTTATAGTATCGCATTGCCATCATCCGAACGAGATTAAAAAAAAATATGGACAGCACTATGTTCTGCAAGAAGGCTGAGCAATTCAAATTGCCATAGCTTTTCTTTTATGTATTGCGCATCAGCATCTTTGTATAATATTTCGTACTATCCACACAACCCTGCTCTGCATTCAATAGTGCATGTTCTTAGTGCATCACGCTTCGGGTTCCTTTCCAACAGTGCAAGTTTCTTTTCGCGCACTTTTGGCGTGCTTCTTGTACATATTTCCTATGTTTTGTATTGCGATACGCTGCATACTGTACGATACATGCATGCGAGCCTTCGAAAGAATGTTTGTGTCATGCACAGGAAATGTGAGATCTGATATTTTGCCATATGAATGGTCGCACTCGGTCGCCAGCTCGGCCACCTGCTCCTAGGCGTTGTAGATGAACCAAAGCTCGATGTGGAGGGGAATGTTGTTTCCTTCGTTCCATCACTGTTTTATCTTTGAAAGTCAAACAATGGAGCCACATGGGGTTCTTGGGCGCGCCTGAACTTCATCATGCTGTACCTAGTCCAACTTGGTCCACACCATTTGCCGGTTCGTAAGTGTCACTGCCTTTGTGTTTCAATGACCTTCGTCTGATGTGATTGCTACCAACTTGCTTATTGCCGGACACTTTGGTACCATTGTGTTCTTGTTGCGTCGCCCTTCCATAGGCAAATACTCCCCCACAGACTGTGATGAGTGACAACCACTTGGATGATGAAAAGCACATCTCGTCGCCACCAGTCTTTCCACAAAAGCACAGGTGCGTGACTCCGAATACCAACACTGCCTGTAACCCCTTCATGACACCCGCACTTGTAGCACCACCTGGAAAGTGCGACAGTGTGTAGAAGAAAGTCAACGAATGCACCAAGTTGGCAAACCCAAAGCAGCTCAGTATGAAAAGTGCCATCCAAGGCGTCGTTCCAGCCTGCTGCATCGGCTGACCCAGTACTCCATTGTAGTTGGGTAACGTATAGACCAGTTGCCATATCAAAAACACAAAACATCCGACTGCGGATTGAATCGCACAGTTCTGAGAGACAGTCAGACTCTCATTTGGGCCAAAGTTCATGACGATTTCACTACCGACGTAGGTAAAGGCATGCATGGCTGATCCAAAGGTCACCATAATCAAACCCTTCAGTACCGAAGGACCCAGTTGCAAAGACTCTGTCGCGGTCAATCCTAACCCACAAAAGACGAGGAGAATAGCCATCCATTGGGACCGATTCAGCACACGATTCAGTATCCATCTCGAATAAATGGCAGTCCAGATCGTCACGGACGAGTAGACAATCGCAAATATGGTGGGTCCCGCATGAGACGCCCCAACATAATTGATGCAGGTGGCCACCACGTCAAACAAGGCAATCCCTGCCGCCTTGTACATGGGAGTCCACCGAACGGGCCATTTCTCAACTCCTTTCCATAAAAGTGGAATAATGACAAGTGCGGGACCAAAGGAATAAAAGAACATGTATACCTGCGCAACCGGATGACCCAATCCAGCGTCCTTGCACACTGTCATGAGGATCGGTTGAAAGCATCCTGATAGGATATAACCAATTGCATTCGCATAGATAATGCTCTGTGATGACATTCGCTTCTTCGTTATTGTAAGGGACGCCTTCTTTTCAGCTGTTTTGTTGCGTGATGCTGCTGATGCTGCTGATGCTGCTGGTGTTGATGCATTGTTATTGGAAAGAATATTCATATTATCCATTGATGTGGTCTGAGATGATGGGTTTGAAGCGGAACCCGTTCTTGATGAGATTGGTCTCTTCATGTTGGTTTTAACGATTTAGACCTAATGAGCAATGGGTGGATGGTTGATTCATTGGTGTTCGCATGGGTGTGTTCGCATGGGTGTTTTCTTTGGTTCTGTACCGGTATATAGTTTTTTAGTCGTAATAATAAACCATCAGTTTGACAAAGGTTTTGCATCCAAAATGCCGCCTGACGAAGTGCAGTCGTATCGTTGGCTGGAACTTTTGATTCTCGGGACTGAATCATGTTGGGACTCACTCGTAATTTGGGACCAAAAATGCATTTATTATTTTCCAGGCTCAACGCACTGTTAGAAATAGAAAATAGGACGACTATCTTCAAAATAATCATTCAGATGCGAGTCATTAACTCTGCATTGTCCATGTGACCAATCAGGTCTACATGCACTGATGACTATCTACTTCAGTTCCATAACTATAGTATCAACTATTCTGCACTCAATCAAAGTTGCAACAACAATCAATCTAGATGGTTTACTGAAAAGAATGAACAATTCTTTTCACTACGTCAATTCACTTTCACCAAGGAATCTGGAATCTCAAAAACCTCAGTCAAATATTACACCGCATATAATCTCTAACACAACACTTTACGCCCTCTCGTTATAATTTAATTGTCCACCGCATTTTCATCATGGGCAACAAAAGATATCGTCAAGACGCAAACAAGGCTGCACAATCCAAGAGCCAAACCATGCGGCGAAAGTCGAGCCTAGGATCCACCGCAAGTGACCCGAAGGAACAGCATAATGCAATTCTGCCTGAACTTGTTGGAGAAAAGCTTCGCCAGATGAATGACTCGTCTCACCATAGTTGCACTGATAGCGGCAGCAGAAGCCAGCGTCGCTCATTGTCTAGAAAGATTAGTCAAAGATCTTCCAGTCGGAGCTCCAAAGTCTCCATATCTGTCAGAGATGAATTGGAAGACAAAATGGATAGAATGCAAGCTTCAGATTTACCATCAGCATCATCATTGAAAAAAAAATACGGATCCCGGGGAAATCATGCCACACCCCAAAGATCTTCATCAAACACTTCAAAAGGAAACAGAAGCAGCCGATCTGTTCGTCAACGCAGTTTTCACTCGTCCTGCTCAAGTTCTGATAGGCATCGAAGACGCAATAGTCGGAATGATAACAGAGATGGCAAAGGCTCAACAGCAGTAGTAGACAATGGGTCAATAGTGATCAATATGGACTCCTCTGAGATATCCATCGATGAAACCACTCCTGGTGCATATCGCGTTGGTAGCATGGGTCGTATCAATGCGTTGTCCCCAAACACACATTATGAGCAAAGCGATGGCAGCCATTCCGACGAAGAAAGGGATCTACAGACCCGAATACCTCCTAGATCGAGCAGAAGCCGAGGAAGCCAATCGAATGCTATCGAG